AGAAGAAAATGTGCTTCTCTTGTTATCCTTGCTTCCATTAGTCTTTGCTCATCTCTCATAAGAATGCCTCATCACCGCCATGGTGAAGCTGTGCAGGCCTTGAGGGAAACAACACAGATTTACTCATGGTTTAATTCAACACACCCAATTTTCTGGATCTTCACCCAACACACTGAAACATAAACTAATCAAAATAAGCTGGGTTTCAGCAATATGCTAGGTTAACAAATATGCATAGCCAACTTGTGGTTGAGAGTACTGCTTGAACAGTCAGTGACTAGATTCATACACTGGGTTAAGTTGTCATTCATTTAAACATAATTTTGGACCTAGCCACAAGTTTTCACTTGTTTTAAGCCACGGGTAGCACACTACAATGTCTAGTTCAGGGATCCCCAAACTTGACAACTTTAAGACTTGTGGACTTTAACTCCCAGAATTCTTTGCTGGCTGGAGAATTCTGGGAGTTGAAGTCCACAAGTCTTACAGTTGCCAAGTTTGGAGACTTCTAGTCTAGTTCATAACATGCTAATCCATGCAATATGCAAGAAAACCCTGATGTGGCTTCATGAAGTGTGTGAACCTAAATAACAATAAGATGCTAATTCAAGAATGCTAAACTGATTTGCATATAATTCTAGGCCACCATGGGTGATCTTATTAAGCCAGAACTTATCTACATTATGAATTAATGCAAGGTAGGCAATGGAAGACAAGTTGCTTCCAGATCAGGAAGGATTCCCTGGTAGATTCCCATTCAATAAGGAAAAAGTTGCTGGAGGTGTTAAGTACACAACACACACCTGGCTTCTATCATCAGATCTCGAGTTTGCATTTCCTGTTACAGCTGCACAATGCATTGGATTTGATTCCAGGAAGATGCCTCAGAGTTGCAGCATCTGTCTGCACATCTTCAAAGCCGCCGTGTCTTTTTTTTACTAGATTGCCAAGTCAAGGATGAGAATTGTACAGTCCTACTTTAAATTAGAGTGGTTGTTATGCATTTGCTTGTGCATGCTCTGAAGTATCTTCCAGGATTTTTTTTCCTCTCTTAACGCTGATGATCTGAATTCTGCCAGAGTGGGAAAAGTACTCTTGATTTACACTGAGCTGTTATTCTATCTGCAAGGAAGATTTGGAGGAAAACAAAATCATTTGTGGCCTGGATCAGCTGCATCATTCTGCAGTGTGCTACACCATGGATCTTGCCAAGAAAGGAAGAGCAATGCAGTGTAGCAAAAAGGGAATCTATGCAAATGAATGGAATTAGTAGTGGGGGCCAGGACAGAAGCAAGGTAATTACTAGGGCAGCCACAAAGGATATGAGAGTGAACATCCTCTTAATCAGATCTTGCCTGGCAGGCTGAGCAAGTTAAAACTTGGACAGCCGCTTGTCAAACTGTCACACCACAATCCAATGTGTCCAAGAGACTCAACATCAGCACTTGGCACCCAGCTTTGCACACACCTTCCGTGGACCTCCTCTTTAATTAAAGTTTGCCTCCCAGGTGCAGCAACCATTATTATTTGTCTGGATTTCTCCAAAGTGTTCATTTCCTGCAGCATGCCTGATGTAGCCTGGCTGTAAGCATTGCAGGAAATGTAGGTAGAAGATTAGCGAATGGATTTGGAGCACCGCTAATGCATTATTTACGCTCACACGGCCAGTGAGGATAGAGGAAGCTCCCCAGAGCATCGTTTGCCTGGAGGCTCCAGTGGTGGGATTCAAAATTTTTTACTACTGGTTCTGTGGGAGTTGGCTTGGTGGGTATGGCTGGAGAAGGATACTGTAAAATTCCCCTTCCCTCCCCTCCCCACTAACCTGCTTTCCAGCTCCATTCTCCTGTGCAGGACAACCAAAGAAGACTCAGCCAATCAGCTGGGACTTGGGAGGAGGAGAATAGATGGGGGCGGGGTCAGTCAGAGGTGGGATTTGCCGGTTCTCCAAACTACTCAAAATTTCCGCTACCAGTTCTCCAGAACTGGTCAGAACCTGCTTAATGCCACCTCTTCCTGGATCCCTTCCAGACTAGAGGTAATGTTGTGGTTTGCCGGCAGCAGATGCGGATGGCTGACGTCTCGGAGAGCGAGAACTCAGATGAAGGGCCTGCATGTGATGCAGGGATGGGGCCAGGACCATCAGGGAGTGGAATGCTACCTTTGGAGATTGTGGAGATTGGCAGCAGTGAGGAAGAGGACCCCGAGGAGTCCATGCCCAGCGCACGTGCATGCAGGGCTGCTCGAAGGAAAGAGCAGGTGCAGTAGCACAGGCGACTTGGGAGTAAGGCTGCAAGGTAATGGCCCCTCCCTTAAGAGATAAAAGCCAGCTGAGAAACCAGAGTTCTTTGCAGGAAGCAAAGAAATTGTTGCACTCAAGCCTTGTGGACGTTAGGAATATCTTGGTTGGTGTTTGGGGACTCTTTGTGTTTGAAATATTTCTTGGCAACTTTATCTTGTGTCCTTGGCAGCCTTGCACAACCTTGGCAAGGAAATCGAAAGTGCATTCCATAAATAGTTTTTCAAAGATAGTAACTAGGTGACTGAAGTTTCTGCCTCACACAATTCTAACTGGAGAACGTGATTGATGACTTTTGGCTATGGATGTGTCTCATTGGAGAATATGAATTACAATACACCCAGGGGATGTGGGAAAACCAGGGTCAAGGCTGACAATGAATTATGTGTCTCAGAGTCAGCTACACCCAGGCAGTGCAGGACATGTTAACTCCCAATAAATCCTTTTGAAGTTTTAGAAGCTTTTCCTCCAGACTCATGATTTAAATGGGGGTAACTGTCGGAATCCTGACATGAGGCAGGTTACCTGCAGTCTATTTCTAACCAGTCATTCTTCACCTGTTGTCACTTGCAAATAACATTTTCCCGTCATTGTTGGTGAGACCAGATTTGGCCATCCCTAGATTTCGGTTTCCTCCTTCTCTAGAAGCCTGATCTCTGGAAGGAAACGGAAACGGAAACAGGAGTTACCTGGTTTTGTAAAAAAAAAAGATTTTTGGCGTAGGATTCAGACATGGTTAGAGTAGATGATTGGACAGAAAATAGAATATAAACCGGAGTTATTTTTACTAGGAATTATGACAGAGAGATATAGTAAAGAGGAGACCTATTTAATAGTACATATTATTACGGCAGCGAGAACAACTTTTGCCCAAAAATGGAAAGATAGAGAAATCCCCGATGAAGGCGAGGTGATCAAGAAAATCTTGACATGTGCTGAATTGGATAGACTGACTTTGGCATTGAAAAACAAAGATAAGGCAGACTATTACAAGATGTGGAATAAATTTTATCAATGGTGGGAATAGAAAGGAGGGACCCAGAGTAAAAAATGAGTAGGATATGTAGAATGGGTAATTGAGGCTATGTAAATAAGTACAATGGAATATGAAGGACAATATAATGGATATATATTAACAGTATAAATGTATGAATGTATAAAAGATATGTATTATATATTACAGTATGGCAAAAAAAATGTTAGGACAATCATGCCATGTCCAATGTTTTAATAATTTAATCAATAAAATATTTTAGAAAAAAAAAGAAATATTTCCACCTTCAACCGAATGTACAGTTATAAACTCAGAAGAATTTAAGAAGAAACACAGCCCAGGATTAGGCTGACCCCTTTGTACATCCCTTTCAAACAGGAAAAAGCGGTGATGGATATAGATAAAATAGACAAACGTTAATCTCCCTTAGATAAACTAATTACTGTGATTAAAAAACAATGCTGTAGACCCTGCTTACAATTCTGAGAAAGATTATGATCAGTTTAATGAGCAGTGACTGATTATGAATATCCCCATAGTGCTTCTTTTATCTTTAAATTGAACTGGACAACTTTTCAAAAATGGTTTTCCTTTATAAAGTAGGCCAGATTGCCTTAGGAAAAGGACACAACAACCTGACCAGAACATTAAGTAGGAGTATTCCTGATAGAAAGAGAAAAAGGGTGCTGGGGAGTGTTTTTGTTTTGTTTTGTTTTTACAAGTACTTTTCTCGCAATTATCTCCCCTTATGCATATATTTATACGCACACACACACATATCTGATCATCTAATGGACAAGCGTAGCAACAATCTTCAACAGCAAGAAAGTTAGAAACAATTCCTGCAAACAATTATACACACGCTTTAAAAGCAGCAAGAAAAAAATTGCAATGAATGAAATGGAATGGATCCGTGTAAGTTGCCCTAAGGCTGTTTAGTTCATCTATTCCTGTATTGTTTGAATAGATCAGCAGCGGTTTTGCAAGATTTTAGCCTGAGTTCTTAGTTCCGCCTTGGACATCCTGGGAAATTCTGCCTACAAAATACATATGGCAGCCTCTTCGTTTGCTCCTTGTCCTTGGAACAATCTCCAAGAAAGGTCTCCAGCCACTTGATAAATTGCACGGGAGGGTTTAGGTCCATGATGGGGAACCTGTGGCACGCATGCCAGAGGTGGCACACAGAGCCCTCTCTCTGGGCATGCAAGCTGTCACCCAGCTCAGCTCTGCTGTGCATCTCCATGCACTTCTCGCTGGGCAGCTGGTGTTCGGATCTCTGCCATGCATGTGCAGGGAGCAGGGCCCATATGTTGGGGTCATGCATGCATGAGCGGTGGGATGGGTGCATGCATGGGGTCACATGCGCATGCAAGGGGGAATGGGGCTCATGCACGGGGTACCATGGGTTGCATTTTGGGCGGGTGCATGCGTGCATTTTGGGCACTTGGTGCCGGAAAGGTTAGCCATCACTGGTTTAGGTGCTAGCTGCAAAGCTGCACGGAACTTCAAAACTCTTGGTGGACAATGAACAAGCAGTAGGGTGTGGTATTAAAGACATCAAGATACCGGGGATTGTTGTGTTTTTGTGGGACATTGTGTCCCTGATGACCAGAATGCTTCCTTCTCTGTTTGTGCAAGAGGTGGTTCAAGATGAATGAGATTGGCCTCAATAACCTGCCTTTAGCCACCATCCGGACGAGGGCAGTGTGGAAACGTTGAAATGCTGGTGATTTATGGTTGATATCTGCCCTTTCTACCTTTGCAGATGTGGCAGTTGTGGAGATGAGCAACAGCTTGTGTCAGCCTTCACTTTTCTATCATCTGGGAGTACGTGAGAGCTTCAGTATGACCAACAATATTCTCCTTTGCTGTTATACCGATCTTTCAGAGTTGCAAGCTCTCCGTGTGAGTATGGTTACAATGCAGTTCCGATAAAAGGGAATATACGGGGTTGAATTGTGGAGTCTTTGGTGCTCTCTGAGCTTGGTTGTTTGCTTAGAGATGTTTCATTACCCAACTAAGTAACTTCATCAATGCTATAATATCAGTGCTAGCCACAGCATTTGGTGATGTTACCCAGTTGGGTAATGAAACCTCTGGAAGCAAACAACCAAGCTCAGAGAGCACTAAGAACTCCACAGTGCAGTTTGTTAGGAGTCACATTTTGGCAATTCAGACATACTGACAAGTTCAAGGCTAGGTTGGTTCAAATCGGCTGTTTCTAAGACAGAGGGAAGCAGGTATCAAACTTCTGGTTTCTACTTTTCAAGGAACGGAAGCACCAGACCTCTTATCATTTTTATTAAAGATTTTTAAAAAGGTTAAAAAATGAATACAAATGAATATAAATTAAGAAAAAGAAACACTAAGGAAGAATTAAAAGAAAAAGCTAAAAGTGCAAGGTAGGGAAAAATAGAAAGGAAAATTTAAAAAGAAGGATACAAAGTAGCTTTTTCTCTTCTTTACAGCAGTTATAAGTAAATTTGTAAATTTATCCTTTTATTTATGTAACTACTTTATAGTTACAACGTAACTCGCTTCTATCTGTCATCTACCCTATCTAATCATCAAACCCATAAATCATAAGTTTAGTTTTTGTTCTGTTTCATGCAAAAAAATCTAATAAGGGATTTCCAGTAAGAAGTAAACGTAGATATTATCTTTTCTCTGAACAAAGACGTCAATTTGACTATTTTTGAAAGTTCCATTTTCTTGAAAAACCATTCCTCCATTGTGGGTAATGCCAAATCTGTCCATCTTTGTGCATACAATAATCTGGCTACAGTTTTCATGTACAGAAATAAAGTTCCCTAACTTTTTCAAACTGATTGTCTAACAATCCTAAAAACAAATAATCTGGTCTTAATGTTAAACCTGTGTTATCCATCAATTCTATTTGATCTTCTATTTTCAATTTGGTTTGTTAACATCTTTATCTTCCGTTTATCAATCTTAAATATACTACTAATATATCAAAACAAAATGCAGGGGGCATGATGGGTCAGTGGTTAAAGATGCTGAGCTACTCAGTTGGAAAGCTGACAGCCTGGGTTCGAGACTCAAGTGATGGAGTCAGCTTCTGTCACTTGCTCCAACTCCTGCCCATCTAGGAGTTCAAAAGCATGCAAATGCGAGTAGATAAATAGGTACCACTTCGGTGGGAAGGTAACAGTCTTCTGTGTGCCCCAGCATATGGTCATTCTCACACATGACTATGGAATTGTCTTTGGAAAATGCTGACTCCTTCAGTTAAGAAATGGATATGAGCACCACCCCCTAGAATCAGACATGACTGGACAGGACTAATCTTTACTTTTATCTTTATATCAAATTATTTTAAGTTGCCCATTAATATTTCAATTCCCTGTAAAGCAAGGGTCTTCAAACTTGGCAAGTTCAAGACTTCAACCCCCAATATTCCTGAGCTAACATGCCTAGAGGAGGAATTCTGGGAGTTGAAGTCCACAAGTCTTAAAGTTTCAAGTTTGAAGACCCCTGCATTAAAGGATCTCCCAGAACAAATACCAGGTGATCGGCAAAAGCTCTTAACTTATAGCTCTTTTTAAAATCTTTATTCTAACAATCCTCTCATTTTGTCTCTATTTCAAGAACCAAAGTAAACAAAAGAGAGGGTGATGGGAGCCCTACCTTGTTCCTTTTTGTATCACTCACGGCTTTATTAGAACTCCATTAACAATTATTTGTGCTTACTGTGAAGTGTAAATCGACCTGTTCTCTCCAAAATTCATATCTTCCAAAACCTTGAAAAGGAAATCCCAATTTAAATTGTCAAAGGCCTTCTCTGCCACTTGTTTTATCAAAAACGTTGCTCCAAGTTCTCCAAAATGTCCAACACATTTCTAAAATTGTCCTTTTGTTCTTGCAAAAAATATTTTCAATCCACCAGTTTCTGATGAGGATTCGTGTTGTGTTTTCCACATTTCTAAAATAAATTTGAAGTAGAGACCCATCCTAAAGGTGCTTTTTTTCAAAAGGCAACTGGACTTTGCTTTTCCTTGAAGACATTTCGCTTCTCATCCAAGAAGTTTCTTGCATGCGAAGTGAAATACCTTCAAGGAAAAACAAAGTTCATTTGCATCCTGAAAAAACACCTTTGGGATAACCATGACCTGGATGACTGAGAATCTTCTTAGACATGTAAAGAGTCATCGTTTTGACATATCTGTAGGGGGAAGGCCAAATTCGAAATCTGAAATCTTGCATGTAAGACTGCCTAAGGCAGGGATCTCCAACTTGACAACTTTAAGACTTGTGGACTTCAACTAAACTGAGTTGAAATCCACAAGTCTTAAAGTTGCCAAGGTTGGAGACCCCTGGCCTAAGGGGTGAGAGAAATTCCATTTCTTTTTTCCAAGAATGTCTACGTGGATTCACATCCAGAGGTTTTTTTTAGCACACCTGTCTCCCTATGTCTTCATGCAGTGTATTTAATAACAGGACTGGGGCAGGGACTGGAATATTGTCTTTCTGTCCCAGAGTGGTTTCTCAACATATTTCCATAGAGGGAAGGGACATAGGTATTCTAAGCATATAGGAAACTGCTTTCTACTGAGTCATGCTCTTGGAAGTTCAGTGTCAACCCCACCTACTGGCAGTGGCTTTCAATATTTCAGCAACCTCTTCCCAACACACCTCAACAGGCAGGTGTCTATGGAGATTCTCAGTCATTCCAGATCATGGTTGTCCGAAAAGTGCTTTTTCAAGAGACAATTGGACTTTCTGTTTTTTCTTTTGAAGACGTTTTGCTTCTCATCCAAGAAGCTTCTTTAGCTCTGACTGGATGGTGGGGAATGGAAGGATTTATATACTCCTTGCAGACAGCTGGTCATTTGCATCCTTTTAGCGAGTTGTTAACCTGGGAGAGCAAACGCATCAAGACTAGATTCAGCAGTCCATTTGCATTTAAGGGACAAAATTTCACTCTTTTGAAGACAGCAAAGTCCACATTTTGGACAGAGAGGGCCACTGGTTTGAAAGAGGGGCCATCAAAAATTGTACAGCCGTCTCTCAACGGGAGACGGCTGTACAATTTAAGGAGGGAGAGGGATACAACAACATTTCTCTTCAGTCTACAACACAGTTCCAAGAAGGCTCCACCCCCCCATTTGCACCACTCAGGTGACTCTGAGGACACAGATAAACCTCCAGGTGGCCTCAACGACCCTCTAAAAGAATGCAAATGACCAGCTGTCTGCAAGGAATATAAATCCTTCCATTCCCCACCATCCAGTCACAACTGAAGAAGCTTCTTGGATGAGAAGCGAAAGGTCTTCAAGGAAAAAACAAGAAAGTCCAGTTGCCTCCTGAAAAAAGGCACCTTTGGGTTAATGGGCAGATGTTTTTACGGGCACTGGATAACCCAGAAGTGTAATGGAAGAGGCTGGACTAGTTTACAGGTAGTCCTCGAGTTACAACAGTTCATTTAGTGAACATTCGAAGTTACAACAGCCCTGAAAAAAGTGACTTACGACCGTTTTTCACACGACCATTGCAGCATCTTCATGGTCACAGACCAAGATTCAGATGCATGGCAATTGACTCAGATTTATGACGGGCGCAGTGTCCCAGGCTGACGTGATTCCCTCTTTTCCACCTCCTGACAAACGTCAATGGGGAAGCCGGATTCACTTAACAACTGTGTTACTAACGTAGCAACTCACAATGATTCACATAACAACTGTGGCAAGAAAGGTTGTAAAATGGGGCAAGACTCACTTAACAACTCTCTTGCTTAGCAACATCCATTTTGCCACAATTGTGGTCGTCAATCAAGGACTACATTGTATATTTGTCTCTGTTGCAGCTGTCTTGGGTTATTATCTTTGGTGCTAACCAGCAGATCCTGTGGCTGTAACACTTCCACGCAATTACAAATTGCAGCTTGGTGTGATGTTATCTGCATATTTTATTGTCCCCACTTCTTTTAATTAGAAAGAATCACACACACACACACACACACACACCACGCACAGAGAGTGTTTTATCTTGGAATCAGAAGTGCAAATGGAGTCCATTGCACACAAGCACGTGTGGAAATACTCAAGAGCGATCTTGCAAAAAATATTGCTGGTTGCTGCTGTCTGGCTGCTGCCAACCAATTTTCAACATGGTGTAGTTAATAATTGATCAGATCCACATTTAAGTCAGACCCACCAAAATTAGTGAAGCTGAAATAACTCAGGACCGAATCTGTGTCCATTGATTTCTATCAACTGGCTTTCAGTATGAGTAATCTCAGGTTGAAGCCTATACCGCCAAGCTATTGTTATTTAAAATTGACATATGGGATGCAGATCGTTTTGCTAGTGTTTGAATTTAAACAGCCGTGTGCCTCTTAAATACATAAAAGTAACGATTCATTGACCAAGATGTCATTAAATTTCAGATCCTCTCCTCCATTCAGTGCTGTAATAGGTTATTTTTCCAAGATAAACTACATGGGATGAATAATTCTGCCCTTGGTGCCATGTGTGAACAATAACAGAAAACTGCTGCGCGGTTTTCTTTGGGAAGAATTCTGAAAAGGAGGGATGGAGGCAGCCAAAAAAGCCAATGCAATCCTAAATTGTATTAACAGAGGGATACAATCAAGATCAAGGGAGGTACTAATACCACTCTATAAAGCCTTAATAAGACCACACCTAGAGGACTGCACCCAGTTTTGGTCATCACACTATAAAAAAGATGTTGAGACTCTAGAAAAAGTGCAGAGAACAACAACCAGGATGATTAGGGGACTGGAGGCTAAAACGATGAACAGTTGCAGGAACTGGGCATGGCTAGTCTAGTGAAGAGAAAGACCAGGGGAGACATGAGAGCTGTCTTCCAATATTTGAGGGGCTGCCACAGAGAGGAAGGGGTCGAGCTATTTTCCAAAGCACCCAAAGGCCAGACAAGGAATAATGGATGGAAACTGAACAAGGAGAGATTCAACCTGGAAATAAGGAGAAACTTTCTGACAAGTGAGAACAATCAACCAATGGAACAGAATTTGCCTTCAGAAGTTGTGGGAGCATCATCACTGGAGGCTTTCAAGAAGAGACTGAACTGCCATTTGTCAGAAATGGTGTAGGGTCTCCTGCATGGGCAGGGGGTTAGGCTAGATGACCTACAAGGTCCCTTCCAACTCTGATTATCTGTTATCTCTTATTTTGAAGGATCTTTTCTTAATTATGTCTGGTGTGTTATGTAGTGCTAAATACAGGTAGTCCTTGGCTTACAACAGTTCGTTTAGTGACTGTTCCAAGTTACAACGGCATGAAAAAAGTGACTTGTGACCGTTTTTCACACTTACGACCATTTGCAGCCTCCCCATGGTCATGTGATCAAAAATAGGATGCTTGGCAACTGACTCTTGTATTTATGACGGTTGCAGTATCCCAGGATCATGTGATTAACTTTTGCAACCCTTCTGACAAGGGTTCACTTAACAACCAGGTTACTAACTGCAAGGATTCACTTTACCGCTGTGGCAAGAAAGGTCATAAAATGGGGACAAACATGTATCTCACTTAGCAACCTAAAATTTGGGCTCAATTATGGTCATCAGTCGAGGACTAGCTGTATATCTGTAGAGGACACGCAGACTTAAAACTAGATTAAATATCCTACATCACAAGGAAGTTTTGTTAAGATTTTAAGATTAAAGGCATCAAAAACTTCCAGGAAAATCATTTGAGCAAAGAAATCAGAAACGAATGATGGCATTTATTCATCTATCTAATTTATATAGCTGCCCATTTGGCCAAAAGCAAGACTGTGTGGTGTACAAAATGGTAGCTGATAAATTTGGGGAGTTGAGATCTCTTAAAGTTGTCCAGATTGAAAAAACCCTACTCTTAAAGCAAAGATTGAAAACGTGAACCTTCCAGATGTTGACAGATTACAATGCAATTCCTCTCTCTGTATATTTGCTATCTTTATTGAAATTGGAGCCCAACACAGATTAACAGATAATCAGAGTTGGAAGGGACCCTGTAGGTCATCTAGTCCAACCTCCTGCCCAAGCGGGAGACCCTACACCATTTCTGACAGATGGCAGTCCAATCTCTTCTTGAAAGTCTCCAGTGATGAAGCTTCCACAACTTCTGAGGGCAAGCAGTTCCGTTGGTTGATTGTTCTCACTGTCGGAAAGTTTCTCTTTATTTGGTTGAATCTCTCCTTGTTCAGTTTCCATCCATTATTCCTTGTCTGGTCTACAGGTGCTGTGGAAAATAGCTTGACCCCCTCCTCTCTGTGGAAGCCCCTCACATCGGGGAGGGGGGGCATTAGGTTAAGGAAGGATGATCTGCAATGACTCTTTAATTGTTCTGAGACTGTTCTAGTTCTATCGTCCTTGAAAGTTGTGGTTTGTAGCCTTTGTTCTTTCAACTCTCTGTTGCAGCTGCATTTGCATAACAGATTTCCCCTGGCTTAACTCTACTTCATTTCATTTCCTAGATCGGATGATGGTCCACCATAGATTAGCCACATGCAGATTTTTTTGGCACAAAGGGTTCAGATGTGGCTGCTTGGTTTATGGGTTCAACATGTTGCGAGAATACAGCTACTTTCAGCTTTGGGCCTTTTGGTTTAAATGCATGAAAAAGGCTAGGTTTGGTCAATTGCAGACTTCTCTGCCCAATAAGATAGCCATTGCACCCCTTTTTTCTCAGTCAGGATACACTTTTCTTACTTAGGTCTTATTATACCTCCAGTTTGGCTAAGTTGTTAAAAGTGAGCATCCTGCACTTGTAACTGTTGGTCGGGGAAATCAATTTCGGTAAAGGGTCCTTAGTATAATAAGTTTCCAGCTGCTGAAATCATCTCTTTTACACAACATTTACCTCCAGGCATATTTTGCAGTGGGCAACTTTCTAATATGTTTTCCTGGTTTTCTTTCTTTTTTTTTTGTAGGAAGTAATATTTCAGAAGAATTCGGTAAGCCTAACTTATTATTTGTCATTCACGATATTATTTTATTTATTTATTTATTTATTTGATTTGATTTTCCAATTGTTTACAAGATAATAAGTATAAGCGTATATATAGTTGTGAATACATGAAATGGGTACATATAAGAAAAATAAAAGAATAAGAGAAACAATAGGACAGGGACGGTAGGCACGTTGGTGCGCTTATGCACGCCCCCTACAGACCTCTTAGGAAGGGGGTGAGGTCAATTATGCTCATTTTCTATTCTGGGATTGCTTATTCCAATGTTTGTCTCCTCCTCCTCCTCCTCCCACTACTACTAAGAGTAGTGGTAGTGGGAGTACTACTACTACTACTAGTAGTAGTAGTAGTAGTGGGAGTATTACCAGTACTACTATCTGGGTAAAATGGATATAACAGCCAATAGTCTGTTGATCAGCTTTCAAATACAGAAGCTGTTTGTCAAATATTGATTAGAAATTAAATCATAAAATACAGACACCTGGAGTTAAGGGAAGGACTATAAGAATATCTAACAAATAGCAGTGCTTTAAAAATTCTTTAGTGTGTAAATTGCAAGATAAATTTAAAAAAACACTGGAAGGGGATTGCTTGTGTGAAAATCAACTTCTGGTGAATTCATAGGCCATAGAAAGTGAAAAATCGGGAGCTGATGGTTATAGGGTAGAAATGAAGGACTTGTAGATTGTTTTCAACCTTCAATCCATCCTAAATTCACCAACCTCTTTTGTAATACGTTATGGCCAAAGTAAAAAGAAGGGAGGACTCACCCAATCCCCAGTTCCATCATTTAGGCAGTTTTGAGCACTGAGCAAAAATGTTTCATCACTAAGAGCCCTGTTTCCCAACTTTGGCCATGTCCAGTGTGGACTTCAAATCCCAGAAATCCACAACCAGAATGGCTGTTGATGAGAGTTCTGGGATTTGAAGTCCATAAACCTGGAAGTTGCCATGGTTGGGAAACCATGAACAAAGGTAGGATCCCTCAAGAGACATTTGCAGAGTGAAGAATGGGAGGTGGATGGGACTTCTGTACTGACGTCTCTTGCATCTTTTCTAGGACAGCCACGGGAGCTATACCTTCATCCCATATGTGGTGACAAACCAGAAGAAGGTCTTCTGTTGCGATGTCAGCACCATGATGTGCTTGACTGAGCTTTACCAGTCCAACTTCAACATGGAAGCTTTCTTCAACCCACTGACAACGCAACTTGCTAAACTGCTTGAGGGCACTTCTGTCAGCTCCAGGTAATGCTCCTTTCCTTCTTTTTACTTCAGTTCAGGAGTTTGATATGAGCGGCAAGAGGAACTTTTCCAAACACAGTTCTTCAGAGGCGAGAACCTGGAAACTATACCCCAGGCAGGGACAAACAACTTTTGGGTGGTTTGGGCTGGGCTAATTTACTTGTGTAATGATTCACTTCATGGGTGACCTCTGTCCATTGAGTTCACCCAGAAGGAACGTGAAGCACGACTTTGTAAATAAGATTATCGTGGCAGACCATTTGTAAATCTTTCAGAGTGATTAGATATACTCCCTAAAATATGTCTTTGATTCCTGTGTTATTTTGGGTACTTATGGCGTTATCTAGCTCAATACCTATCATTGGGAACATCAACAGACGGAAGCAGTTGAGTTTCCCCTGGTTCTTTATTGCCTACTCTGGAAAGAAAACAGACAAATAGATCTTTAATCTGACTCTGAATAATAGTTATGTGTATTTGTAGATAGCAAAGAAGACACAAGTAAGCAAAAAAGATTTAAATAGAGTTAATAATGAACTGTATAATATAGTTAAATATCATATCCTGCTGAATTAAGCAGGAAAGCTGGTGATTGAAAGCAGGGAGACAAACAAGATGAGCAGCCTTCTATTTTTTGAGGTATGTGTACCTCGCAAACCTGAACTTCAATCAGAGCAAGAGCTTTTGAATTTTTTGATCTCTGTTTCTGGAGTAATTTGAGGATTTAGACTTTCTTAGGAAACTGTCACAAAGCCTTCTCCCGTTTCCTCAAAATCTAGACCTTCCCCACAGCATAACGTTTCAGCTTGTATCAAACTTCTCGTTTTGATTTTTTTTTTTTTAAAAAAAACAAAACCAAACATCTGTTGAGTGGTGCCACGTCAACAGATGTCAAATGGGGAAATGGGCTGGAAGCCAGCTTTCTCCCAATCGCCAAGTTCTGTCATCATCTCTTTGGTGATAGATCAGGCCTTCTTTACCTGTGAGAAATGAAGATTGAGTGATGGTCTCCATGTTATTCCCAGTTCCATGTTATTCATTCCTGAAGATTGGTCCTTTAGCGCCCAAGGTTGGATCATATGAAATTTTCAGTTGTAGCTCATATAAACAGCAAAATATGAAATGGAAGCAACCAAAAGAAAACAGAAGGACTTATTTTTTTTGTTTTCTGATCCTAGTTCCTGTTCTCAAAAATGTCCTGGAGTCAAGATGGCAGGAAGTTGTGGTAAATCTCACCATTGTCACCACAACAAAGCATGATGGGTTGCCAGAGATTGGCTTCAAATGCTGTGCATCGTGTCTAGAAAAGTGGGCCTGCCTTCTTCTCCTTTTATTTAATAAAATATTTGTTAGGAACAACTCTTTGGAGAATCCGTACTCCTCCATTCATAAAAAAAAACCTCACGTGTAGTTGCTTTGAGCCCAGCAGTGCCCCTGCAAAAGTTACCATTGTGTTGTGATTTTATGTAGCATATTACTGTTAACATATCATCTTTTAAACAACCATATTGCCTGCTTTGAGAGCCAGGTTGGTCTAGTGGTTGAGTAACTGTGAGTTCTAGTCCCATCTTAGACATGAAAGCCGGTTGGGTGACTTTGGACCAATGACCAGGAGACTGGGTTTTTTTTGTCCCGCCTTAGGCATGACATGAAAGCCAGCTGGGTTACTTTGGGCCAATCACTATCCCTCAGTCTTCAACGTCAGGTTGAGATGACAAGCTAGTCAGTCAATTCCTGTTGCAACCAATGGATCAACCCTTGATTGATCTGGGGGGAAAAAACCTAGGAAGAAAAAAAAATGTGCATTTAATTAAATACGTCTTTAATTACATTTGATTCAAAATTAGTTTTTCTTCTTTCTCTGCTCAACCTGGGCATGGGCTCTTGAACATTGATGATCTCATTGTACACATGTTGTACAACCAATCTCATTGTACACATGTTGTACAGTGGTGGGATTCAATTTTTTTTACTACCAGTTCTGTGGGTGTGGCTTGGTGGCCGTGGCTTGGTGGGCATGGCAGAGGAAGGATACTGCAAAATCCCCATTCCCTCCCCACCCCACTAACCTGCTTTCCAGCTCCGTTCTCCTGTGCAGGGCAACAAAAGAAGAGCCAGCTGGGACTCAATGGGAGGCAGAGAGTAGATGGGGGCAGGGCCAGTCAGAGGTGGGATTTGCCGGTTCTCTGAACTACTCTAAATTTCCGCTACCGGTTCTCCAGAACTGTCCGAACATGCTGAATACCACCTCTGATGTTGTACTCTGACAATAAAGGTTGATTTGATTTGATGTGTCACAGGAGAGAGGAGGGACCCTGAGCAAACCCACTCACCTCCCTGAACAAGGTGGGAGCATTAAAGCCCAATGTATGCTTGCTTTCTCCAGTGGCTACTTCCGGGAGATGATCCGGAGTGACATCCGGAAGGCTCGTGAAATGTACCATGGGAAACAACTGAGCCATGAACTGACCAGCATTCTACAGCGCCTGGACAGTGTGGAGTGCCTGAGCCTAGACATTGTCATGAACTTCCTTCTCTCCTACCGAGATGCTCAGGTGAGCTCACCTCTTGATGCTGTTTGGGCTTCACCTCTGCACAGGTAACTGAAAACAAGTAGGATTGGTTGTCACAACACCACCACAGCAGTAGTTTCTTCACTGTTTTGTTTTTTTATTGGGGTACCTCTCTTACCTGGCTACTGTGAAGGTTGTTGTACATGTAACTGGAGAGCATGATTGATGACTCTTGGCTATGGATGTGTCCCATTGGAGAATATGAATTACGATACACCCAGGAGGTGGGGGGGAAACCAGGGTCAAGTGTGACAATGAATTATGAGTCTCAGAGTTGGCTACACCCAGGCAATGCCACATCTTTTAACTCCCAATAAATCCTTTTGAAGTTTTGGAAGTTTGGCCTCGAGACTCATGATTTAATTGGGGTAACTGCCGAATCCTGACAGCAGGTAGTCGACTTAGTGACGAAGTTACAGGGGCGCTGAAAAAAGTGACTTATGACTGGTTTTTACACTTAACAACCATTGCAGAATCCCCACAGTCACATGCTCAAAACTCAGGCAACTGGCCCATGTTTATGATGGTTACAGTCATGTGATCCCTTTTTGTGACCTTCTCACAAACAAAACCAATGGAGAAACCAGATTTATTTAACGACTACGTTAATAGCTTAACAACTGCAGTGATTCACTTAACAACTGTGGCAAGAAAGATCACAAAATGGGACAAAATTCACTCAACAATGGTCTTGCTGAGAAATTTTGGACTCAATTGTGGTTGTAAGGCGAGACTGCCTGTACTTCCCAACACAGCAGCCCTTTCGTGGTTGTGTTTTCAGTTGCTTCCCTACGTCATGACTGAAATGTACAGGACCACAATTGAGCTCCAATTTTTGGTTGCTAAATGAAACATTTGTTGAGTGAATTTTGCCCCATTTTTTGACTTCTTGTGCCAGAGTTATTACGTGAATCACCACAGTTGTTAAGTTAGTAACATGGTGGTTAAGTAAAATCTGGCTTCTCCATTGACTTTGCTTGTCAGAAGGTCGCAAGAGGGGATCCCATGACTGTTATAAAGACGAGTCAGTTGCCCAGCACCCAAATTTTGATCACATAACCTTGGGGATGTTGCAACGGTCACGTGTGAAAAAGTCAGTTTTTTCAATGACATTGTAACTTCGAATTGTCACTAAATGAACTGCTGTAGCGAAAGCTGTGCTTCTTTAAAGAGGCCAAAATTTGTGAAATTCCATGTAGTTGGCAGGACCAAGCAAGCAAGACCTGCAGAGATTTCAGGAAGATCTCTTTGATACCCACTTGGGATCAGTGCAGGATCTGGGAAATTGAATTCCCCAGCCTCTTTTGTTAAGGTGGAATCTCTTTCAAATGCTGCCATGCTTGGCTCGGGCCATGCACAACACCTCCAGAGCTCACCATGTTGTTCATCAGCTCCAGAGCTCACCATGTTGCTCGTCAGCTCCGGAGTTTACCGTGTTGCTTGTCAGCTCCGGAGTTCACTGTGTTGCTCATCAGCTCCGGAATTCACCGTGTCACTCGTCAGCTCCGGAGCTCACTGTGTTGCTCGTCAGCTCCGGAGTTCACCATGTCACTCATCAGCTCTGGAGCTCACTGTGTTGCTTGTCAGCTCCGGAACTCATTGTGTTGCTTGTCAGCTCCAGAGCTCACTGTGTTGCTCATCAGCTCCGGAGTTCACCGTGTCACTCGTCAGCTCTGGAGTTCACCATGTCACTCGTCAGCTCCGGAGCTCACTGTGTTGCTCGTCAGCTCCGGAGCTCACTGTGTTGCTTGTCAGTTCCGGAGCTCACTGTGTTGCTCATCAGCTCCGGAGTTCACCGTGTCACTCATCAGCTCCGGAGCTCACTGTGTTGCTTGTCAGCTCCAGAGCTCACTGTGTTGCTCATCAGCTCCGGAGTTCACCGTGTCACTCGTCAGCTCCGGAGCTCACTGTGTTGCTTGTCAGCTCTGGAGTTCATTGTGTTGCTCATCAGCTCCAGAGTTCACCATGCTGCTTGCCAGCTGAATCAGACTCTCTGGGCTGGTAATGTGGCGCAGCTGCATTACTTCAGTAGAGCGATGCCTGAGTGACTACGCCACAACGCCCAGCTGAATGGCGAGAAACCGGGCTCCGGGCTGCAAACGAAGACCTTAAACGACTAGATGAACAACTGCAACACTGGCGGAGGGTGTAGGAGATTGAATGAGGGTTTCGAGGTGCTTGTGTGGTGGTGGTCATGCAGTTGTGTGGGATGCAGGGCAAACGGGATGCTGGCTTCAAAGGTGGGGCCGGATATTGACAGCGGGGCAATTAGCTAATTAGATAAATGGGGCTCTGAGCCAGCAGACGCTCAGAGCTGACTTTAATCAGATGTTCTCGTTACTTCTCATTGTCTCTAACTGCGAAGGAATAAAACCTCTTGCCAGCTTGCTTGCACTGGTTTGTTGTTTATGGCCTCGTCAGACATGCTGGCTACAGAGTAGCTGAGAAATGCTTTTTCCTAGATGTTGCTCAAGGTGAACTCATCATTTGTCCGTTGACCCATCGCCTTTTCTCTCATGCTCTCCACAATTGTCCACAATCCCCCTTCCAAAACAATATGTATCAACGTGTTATAGAGTCCAAACTCTCACTCAAGGGTGGGATCCTACCAGTTTGGCCGAACCAGTAGCTCCAAAGATCATCTGGGAGCAAACCGGTTTGCTCCGACGATCAGCTGCTGGGCCTCTCTGTACTGACCTTTATTTCCTGCTTTTGAAGCGCAGCTGCATCGCGCAGCACAGCGGATTGCTGCGCGTCAGCTGTTGAAGAGACAGGGAAAGTGCAGGAGGTCAGTAGGAAAGCCTCTGCGTGCGCCTACCAAGGCACGCCCACCGAACCGTTGGTAAAACAATTTGAATCCCACCACTGCTCTCACCCCACTGATTTTAGTTACTAGTCAGAGAGAATTTTGTGTGATAATGAAGGCCAAACTATTGTTGCCTTTTGTGGTTAACATTGTTGGGAGCCAGGTGTTTGCAGCGTTCCACCTGGGGAGCGCCCAACAATCCTAGACAGTGTCTGTTAATTCCAGCACATCAATTATCTTTCCAAATCCCCCATGTTCTCATTTCTGCAAACTTTAAATCTTTTTAGGCATCTGCAAAGGTTGACACTAACAGCAGTAGTGTTCCTTCAGAAGATAACTAAAAAGCCTCGAGTGGTGGCTCAGTGGCTAAGACGCTGAGCTTGTCGATCAGAAAGGTCGACAGTTTGACGGTTCGAATCCCTGGCGCCGCGTGACGGAGCGAGCTCCCATTCCTTGTCCCAGCTTCTGCCAACCTAGCAGTTCGAAAGCATGTAAAAAATGCAAGTAGAAAAAATAGGGACCCCTTTGGTGGGAAGATAACAGCATTCCATGTGCCTTCGGCGTTTAGTCATGCCAGCCACATGACCATGGAGACATCTTCAGACAGCGCTGGCTCTTCAGCTTTGTAACGGAAATGAGCACCACCCCCTAGAGCCAGAAACAACTAGCACGTATCTTAAAAGAGTGAAGCTCAGCACTTTCCAAACTTTTTCCTTCCTTACCCAAAACTGTTTCTCAGAAAGTCCTTTTTACCCAACGAAGATAAAGCACTTTCTCTCAAATGGAAATGTACTGGTTGTGATTGCTTAATGGGTTTGCATGTTATTACCCAAAGAAAAACCACTTTTATTCAATTCTGAGTAATTTACCCAGATTTGGGAAGTACCAGCGTAGATGATAAGCAACTTCTCAATTAATTCTGCTGAACTAAAAAAAGAAAAAGAAAAGAAAAGCTTGCTTATGTGCTGGTGTTTCTGTTCTATTAAAGAATAATTAAATTGCAGTTGAAACTTTGGGCTTCTTGAAACAATTAAAATGCTTCCTCAGCATAAAGTCCAACTTTCTACCATTCCAGGTCTCTATTTCCTGTCCCCTCTGCTTTCTCATCACTCAACATACCATCCAAAGCAGATATTTCCCAGATATTTCAGATCAGTGGAGTTCTCGTCAAATAGAAAGAAAAGCATACAGATAGCC